TTATTCAACAGATTATTCAACTTGGATACAAGGACAAAGACCATTTCTCCAGCTGGAGCTACTGGGTGACAATTTATTTCTCCTAAAAAGAAGTTAAATCTACAAATTTAGTTTGCCATTTATATTTGAAGTGACTGACTGTGTGATGAGACACAACACAAAGAGGTGGCGCAACTGCACACAAAGTCAAAGGAAAGACACAAATTTGCTCAGGGCGACACAAGTTGACGTGAAGATATTTCCATGTGCATCTGTAGCTAGCTAGCTTAAAGCCAACATCTGTACAGTTGGTATATTACATTGGTAGTTTGGGGGTTGAATGAAAACAGTCTAGTAGGGGTGAGCGATATGGCAAAAATATCATATCACGATTTATTTCAGGCAGGATCATGATTCACGATCTTATCACGATTTATTTTCCTGTTGGTTTTTAAGACTATTTTGCAAGTTACTGGTTTAAATGAGAAAAATAACATTTTATTAATAAAGTAAATAATTACTTTATTAATCATATACAATATAGCCTAATGATTCATTTAAACAACAAAGAACTGGTTCATTTTGTTATAAGTTCTCCAGTATAAGAGCACATCTTATGCACTGTGGGCTAGAGAGGAGGGAAACCCTGTTCCCTATGCTCCACGCTCCTTGTTATTTTCTTTCACCATACAACACTCCACTCACTTTTCCTTCAAGCATGCATACATGACTGACCTACTGATTATCACACTTCATATGATTATTTGAACATTAAGTTGTTTCTGTTTGTGTAAAAATAAAAGTAATAGTACCTTTACTGCAGTTTTGTGTCATCGTACTATTCTTTTTGTCGCAGTTTTGCGCCAGCCGTGACAGCTTCTGCATATTTAAAAACACAAAGACGGGGAGGGGAGTAGCCAATAGCCTGAATGTGTGTTACACCCCCACACTGTCATGTAGAAGTAACGATCTCTCTGAAAAGGTAGATCGTGGAGACATTTGAATCGTTCACGATCAAATATTGTAATATCGCCCACCCCTATAGTCCAGTGAAGCGAAATCTTGTGAGCTTCATGGTGACCCATACGAACAGCCAGGCAGACGTAATTGTATGTGAAAACAGCAGCACAGAGAGCAAACTACAGTTTACAAGCTGTCCAACAGAAGCTAAGAAGTCAAACATACAATGTGGCAATTGGGCTGTTTTTGACAGATATGTCAAAGTTGGGTTTTAATCCAATCCAGTAGTCCAGCTGTGGACACCTCCACCGTCTTTCTGCTGAAGCCCTAATGCTCAGACACTGGCACATTAATGACCCTCAGATGTATTTCATTAGGCCCCAGACTTGACACTTGAACTAGAGGGCCTCCATTTCCGCTGCCATGGGAGAGTGAAAACTGCAGAGCTAAAACAGTAAGCACTCCACAGTTACATGCATTTCCTCTTGGGAACAGAGGAAAATCTGTCATGTTTAATTCTCATGTTCAAAAACGGTGTTTGAGCTCTGCTGTACCACTTAATCAGGACAACAGACTGAGTAAAAGGCTTGTACTTCAGAGAACCTTCCCTGCTATACAACTTTCAGGCTTGGCGTCCCTGAATTGTACAGATGGTGGTGAATATAAATGAGTGAATTACATTAAGTTGTTCTTCCATTTTGTATCATTATCATTTTCCTGGAATGCAAGATACTTGTACTTGTTTCTTAAACACTGCTGCATATCAATTAATATTTTATTGCAGCATGTGATGTGAAGCCTAGTTATTCAGGGAATGAACTGACTTAAGCTCTTTACCACATGTATCAGTAAGGGGTGGTCTTTTGTAACTTTGCAGGGAACAGTTGGTTAATTTCAGAATTATTACTAGTATTATTATATGTCTATTAAATCAAATATGTTTGTACTGTTTATCTAACTATGGAGTGTCTGATAGTAAACTTTGTAAGGTGGGAATTATGCCACCTCAGTTTTTTTTTTACTCAGAACAATCAGCTTCTTTTACCACGCTTTATCAGATATGCACATCTGCACATAAAGGAATATCAGTATCTAATGAGCGGCTTAAAAGAAAAGCCTGACTATGAAGCCACAGTACTATATTGAGTTTCTGTCTCTGAACTGGGGGACTGCTGGTGACTCACTTAACACCCCTGACGACAGCGTCCAACAGACCACATCCACAAAAACAGAGAACAGTGTTTGCATTGTATTGGTTCAGTGTGCATATAGGGCACTGAGGGGAGGCACATGGGAACAGATCAGAACATGTTACAGTAGGCCTTAACAATTACAGTAGAAATGTGAGTTTCAGGACAGATGACACAATAATACTCCTTGGTACCTTATTTTGAGGACTAAACACATTTTTTCTACACAGTTTTTTTCATTTAACAAAAGAAGCCAAAGTCCTCAAATATATATATATTTTAAAACAAGGAGCAGTACATGAACTTTGTCTAAATCAGATAAGTAAACACTACACTACAAAGCTTACTGCATCCTTGTAGCCTAGGGGTTTAAGACTACAACCATGAAATTGCAACATCCCAAGTTTGAATCCAGCTGGGGCCTTTTGTTGCATGTCGTCCCCCATCCCTCTCATTTCCTGTCACCTCTCTACTGTCTCCAATCTCACAGCAAAATCCCCCAAAATACATTACAAAAGGCTGTCTAAATGGTAAAAACAAAGTACTGAGGTCTGATTCTCAGCACCAATTTTCCATTTGAGTATAACGACCATTTTTTTTGATTAGTGTGTTGGTAAAAACAAGCTCATGTTCATTTCAGTGAATAAACACAAACTCCTTCATTTGCTTGAACTGAGTCGTTCTGTGAATGAAAGGCACATAAACATTTCTTTTCCGACTCACACTGCCCTCGCAGTTAAGCCTTCACACTGTCACAGTAATAAACACAGTCTGACAGAAGTCTCAGACAGCAAAAGTCTGCTACTATTTACTACCAACACAACATCTTCGGACTCGTTTTTTTTCAACAAACCTTGGTGAGCAGAAGTCAGCTTCAACCACACCATTTCAGTGTTTCAGAGGCTGTTTTTAGGACCAAGAGGCCCCCCAAAAAAGAACTGTATCTGAGCCCAGTAAGGAGAGGAAGTGGCTAGAGAAGAGAAAAGGCAAACAATTTGGCCAAAAGCAGCTCTGGAGGTCACAAACCAAAACCAAGAGTAAGGCCCACCCCGCAATCTCACAGCATAAACAGACAAATCTGTGCCAGAAAATAATTTTCAGAAGAATGGAACAGAACAAAAGCACGTTGTTGTGTTATAAATAGAGTCTAAAATGTGTTGTTTTAATCTAACTAGACTTTAAAATAATCACATGGTTTGAGAAACCTTCAGAATTTAGGAAAGACTGCACAGGTTTGGGTTTGTTGGTCAGGCATGATTCACTGCGTAACAAATCATAGATAACTGCTCTTCTGAGATCATCAGCTGTAGACACACTTTCAAACGTGCAGGGTATGTGTGTGTGTGTGTGTGTTGGAGGTAAATGGCTGTAGCAGGCGATTATTTGTACCACTTTACGCCTGAGCCCTGAGATCTCCCCCTGTGGCACAAAGCATATGCCGCGGAGGGCAATCGTACACATTCATCACTCTGTCACACAGGAACACACAGACATACACAGAAAATCACAAAGAGCATATTCATCTCTTGTGTCTCAAAGGGACAAGTACGCGCATAGGTGTTCGTCACTGACTGACAAAGAAACACACACGAGAAACGTCACATGTCTAGAAGGAAGGCCCGGGTGCGGCCCTCTGTCTGCAGTAAGTGGCCTCGTAAATCAGGTGGGAGCCCGGCCCCTGCAGCAGCAGCTGTTCCCCAGGGGCCTGAGGTCACATGCATTCAGCTGGTGGCTACTGGCTCAGCTACAGTCTTTCAACTCCCCCACTGTCCTACATTTACCCTCCCCCTCAATTAGCCTTCCTCCCCCTCCCTCCTTACTGTCCTTTCTCCACCGTCTTTGCCTTCCATACCTCCTTCCGACATCCCATCTTATCCTCTGTCCTTGCCCTACTTCCTGCCTCCATTTCCTTGATTAAACTGATGTCTAGGCCCTTCCAGCTATGTGGAGTCAGCACGGATGGCTGTATTTATATGGCCTTCATCTCCTGCTTTTCTTCAGATGAAATGGGGGAACTCTGCTTGATCCAATCAATGGATGCTATGTAGCCTGTAAAACATGCACTGCATGGGCAATAACATGCAGCAAGCTGTATGTTCAGTCAGAAAGCTGCTGCATATCTGATGTCTCTGTTGTGCATCCAGTCTTTGCCTTCAAGTCCTACTTACAGCATATTCATACCTCTGGATTCAGCATTTAGGCCACTTATTAAATATCTCTTCTGCTTTCAACAGAAGACAGTCTTAAACTTCTAACCTCTCACTCCCTCTGGGCTGTCAGCATTTCATCAAGTGATCCCTGAGTGATTTAAATAGATTACGTGAGATTACTTGTTGAGGCCCTTTCATACGACCATCCACATCAACTGAGGAGAGCTGTAAGCCAGCCTGTTGCGTCTGACCCAGATGGATGGGTAAAAAGCATATTGTAGTTCACAATATCTAAATTAGTGTATTAATTATACTGCTATACAGAGAGCGCACAAGAACCACACACACACATACACATACACAAACACACGACAACCACTACCACCATCATTACCACCACTTTTTAACACAGTAATGAGCCACAACTTTTACATCCGACCCCCTTAACATTACTTTTAAAAACATAATTTCACATCGCTCATTTTAACACTTGAATGCTATAATTAGCGTTAGTTAGTGATACCTTAAACCATGAAGTGAAGTTATTTTTGCAACAGGCAAATGAATCCATAAAGGAACATTAAAATCCCCTAAAGTACCAACACATCCATTTAAAATTAGCACTGAGTAAGTTACTGGAGCGTGAAACATAAAGAAACCCTCTGGGATACAAACATTAACGTTTTAACACGAGTTAACGTCAGGTTATCAGCTTCCTTACCTTGGCGCTGTGGTGTTATTCCCCAGGCAACATACAGAGGAAACAGGAAGCTAGCTTCTCTTCCCCAGTTCCCAGTGATGAGACGCTAACCAGCAGCACGGACAGAGACAACGGCAACTATCTGCCCCGCTGGCACCGGGAGCCACTTTCTCTTCCGACAAAGTCACGGTAGATTTCTCCTGCTATTCATTCCCCTCAACTACCCTCAGCAGAGTAAATATATACAATGCAGTGTATATACTAAATCCAAATGCGGGAGGGTTCGACAGCTGGCAAAAGAATCAGAGTACTGTGAGGACCTCTTTTCCTCGGTCTTTACAGAGGAAAGTGGAGAAGCAAACCCGCAGACCTCCGCATCTCCTGTCCAACGCCACACTAGTGTGAAGATACACAGTGTAACACAGAGGTTTTCCGGTTAAAACTTTCAAAATAAAACAAAAACCTGGACGCCAGCTTTAGCGCTAAAACCACAATTATTTCAATCTTACTTGTTTATTCTATTCAAGCCTGTCCACAACTACGGACATATACATTATTCCCATGTTCTAATATAAATATGCGAGGTTTACACTAGTGTTGCCTTACTGCCAACCTGAGGGAAACTACAAACACGGAAAAATCCATTACATTGATATACACGTACTATTACTATTATTTCTCTTACTTATTCTTCTCCCAGGTGTCATATGTGCTAAGAGCTCTTACTGGTATTTATTGCTGCTCCTACACATACTGTGCTCATTTTCAAGTTCATCATTTTATTTAGGGGTTGTACTAGAAAAGGTTTACATGGTTTAGTTGTAAAACACCATATTTTGTCATACTGCACATTGTTGCAGCATCTCTTTTAACCCTGTGTGTTGGACACTCCATTTTAGCTACGGAGTGAAGCAAGGAGGGCGGGTCCTGATAAACCGATAACCACCGCTTTGGTTCAGCTGTAGCCTACATGTTCCTGGAACTGCTTAACAACATGGACTGGAGCAAGAGAGTGGTAAGTTATTCATTTGTAACAAATTGATCTTTCATACACAACATTTTAACTGAGCTCTGTCAAAACATCACAGTAACAACTTTAGGTCCACTGACTGTCTAGAGGGTGTCTAATGTTTGGTTGGGAGGGTGGGGCTGAGGGGAGGCAGTTGGCGGACGTCTTCTCACTGTGTGCTGCAGCTTGGTGTGTTTCTCCACCAGTGTTTTTGAGGGTTTGTCAGACTACCTGCATGGCGAGCATTATGACAGTTATAACAAAGTGTCGCAACTGGACAAAAGGCAAGGCTGGGCTAATATCGAATTGTTTTCAGGCAGTTCCAGACAGGGTTTTCTGTGGGAGATGGTAACTGACTTTGGGATGGACTTTGGACTTTTTCACTTTGCAAACCTATTAGATGCACAAAAAGATATGTAACTTTTTAAAAAAAAAACCTACAACCTGATAATCACAGCAATGGCAAATATTACTTCAGATGAGTAGAATGAAATGATGGATTTGGTGATAAGTCTTGCACACACACGCCACATATTCAATGCCTACTGCTAAATGTTGAAATATATTACATTTAAACTACTTTTATTTTGAAGACTTCTGCTTCTGTTTTTCCGTCCAATTGTTGCTTAATTTAGCTAACTTAATGCGGCTCCAGTCTGAGCCTCCAGCTTACGTCACACACACATAATTGCCTTTATACAGATTCTGCGACGGCTATTTAATATTCAATCTGTAACTATAAAAATTAGTATCTTTCAGCATCATCAATGTACTGCACTTTTATATTAACAGAAACAAGATTAGTAAAAAAACACAACTGAATGAAACAAACAAGTTAATTAAAAGTAATTTTATTCAGGCGCCTCTGACTGTGTTTCCTTCCCTCATGATGATTTGTGGTATCACTAACAATTACTACAAACACATTACCAGAAAATCTGTTTTATAGTGCTGACTGAATTTATTTAAACCACAAGTTTATTTAACAACTTAATTGTTAATTATATAAGTAAAGTTCTTATTATTCCAAAAATAAATTTCATAGCCGCAATGCAAATAATGTGAAACTATTGATACCGATGACTAATTCTTAAGTAATATAAGATTTTGAGAATATAGTTTCTCGTCTTACAATTAATATTGTTTTGCTCCTGAGTGTGTATTGAAATAGTTTTGGTTGTCTATAAATATATTCCATCATCTTAAAGAAACAAAAAGTAAAGAAAGTATCTTACGAATCGTTGTATGTATGAAGCCTAGGGTAAACTAATGTATAACACTGAAAGCCACATGAAAACTTTTTTACATAGGGATTATAAGATGTAGTAAACCCCTAATAATCACAGCACATAAATAGAAATTTATAAAAACAGTTAGAGTTTTGGCATGCCATAGACGTCATAGAGCCAGAGACTGCACAGTTTTTGGAACAGTTTTAGTGAAAATAATCAACTCAGCCAGTTATTTATTTCCCTGAAACTTAATGGAAAGTTATTCCTGCCTCAGCACTGGGGACGTAGAGGAAAAATGTGAGAGAAAACAAACTATCACGCCCGGAAGATCCTTGATTCCTGTTTAGTCTCTAGGGAATGTTTGCAAGAAACTGCTGCTCTTTCTATCTCTCCCTCCCAGCCCCTTGAGATGGGTGAAAAGTTTAATCTGCTTTAACTGGACGGATTTATTCCATTCTCTTTCCCATATAGTTTATGTCTCTTACACTAGGTGTGCAACCTGAAATATACTGTTTTTTTGGGTAAAAAGTACAATAGTAAGGAATTAACAGTAATGATTATGTTAACATGGGAGGGCTGCAAATGCATGAATCAGAGTACAGAGTGAGCAAACACTTTGCTTTGACTCAGTAACAGGCGCTGGTGATGATGAAGATGAATGCTGTGCAGAAGCATAGCGCGTCCAACAGGCTGCCAAATATTTGAGATAAGCTGCCAGAATAGATATGGAGCGCAGCAGAGACCCAGACAGTTTGGAATTGACCCAGATGTAGTAGACTTCATGGTTTGTAACTGCGTCTGATCTCTCTCTTCATACCTCAGCATCTTATCTTTTCCTAAAAGGTTAGCCAAATGTAAAAACTGCAAAAGTGACGACATGTCAGGTCACTTACAAATAAAAATAAAAATGTATGAAGGCTATACAACATGCAGCAACAAATAGTGAATCCAGAATTGAAGCACACTTGACAGCGCTACAGATTTCTTCTTGTTGAATGTCGAACGTTATATTTATGGTGATGTACAGTACATACAGTACAGTGTCCATGTCAGTACTTCCATGACTTCCGGAGCCTCCCTGTGGTCTGTTTTGGTCACTGCAAGGAAACAGAGACAGAAGCCCTTAAAATAACGTGTTGACATTTTTTATTGTTTTTCTCTTTCATAGCATCCTAATGTTCTACTGTTTACATCACACTTCACACATCAAACTACTATCACTGCCATTACAAAAACAATTTGACATGTCATAGGCGTAAGGCACAGGTGTTACTGATAACTTTAACAATAGCTCTGTTTTATTCATTCAAATGTCCCAGTAAGCCAGCGTGACAGTGTGCTGTGACCAGCACGCAATAATACCAGTACCCTGAAACTGAAAAGGAATTCAGCCAACTTTCATTTTACTATTTACATCTGTGCCTTTCCTACTCTGACATTGCAATATGAAAAGGCCTGTGTAGCTGTTTACCATGTGTGTATGAATGACTATACCTTGTATGTGGGAAGCATGATACTAAGTTTGTTATGAAGAGTTTTGTGTTAAACTGCAGTCATATGTCCGTTTCATATTCACGGGACATTTGTACTTACTAGTAGTACTCCATGGAGCCATCCAGTGGTAAAATGGAAAACTACAGATCCAGTTTACACTTAGGTTGGGCAGTTACTGCTGTTCGGTGATTGTGTTGGAAGAAGTATCCACAATTTGTTATTTTAGCAAAAGTACCAAGAGAACTATGTCAAAATACTCAATTACAGGTAAAAGCAAAGCATTATCAGCAAAGCGTACTGAAAAGTATCAAAAGTAAAATAACTTGTAACTAATTTTGTTGTAAAATTTCCCCCATGAGTGATTTTTTTTATTTATTTGGACATTATTAGTTTGATTATATTGATGCATCAACGTGTAGCCTAAGTAGCATACCTTTGTAGCTGCTGGAGGTGGAGCTTACAGTGGTGGAATGTAACAAGTACATTTAGTCAATTACCGTACCAGTCGAATTGGAGGTACCTGCATTTACTTTGTTTATTTTTGTTTCATTCCACTTTTCTACTTCAGTGCCAACATTTCAACTCATACCTCTGAAACATGACATGGAGCCCCAACTAGAGGCCACAAGCAGAAAAGTTTGGGAACCACTGGTTTAAGATAAATTTTGAAATCTTATAATATGTTTTAATGATTATGTTTTAACTATGACTATACAAGAAATGTAGTTGAAGTATTGTAATGGAGTGAGAGTATAAAATATCATCAAATGTAAATACATAAGTAAAGTACAAGTAGATTGTGCTTAAGTACAGTACTTTGATGAATGTTCTTTGTTACTTTCCACCACTGATTATGTTTTGACAGGAAAACAGGCACATATAGCACATCTTTTAATCTGCTAAAACCACTTTCTAATTAGTGACACTGTAATAGGTTTATAAGTTGTATTATAATTTTGTTAATTGTCAAAAGACATAGATAAGTGCCTCCTTTGGGTTGCCAGGTTGTGAAAAATCCATTTAGCAGAACCAGCAGTGTGACACTCAAGCAGACCACTCTTGTAAAAATCCATTTATTAACAGCTTATTAACATTCAAAACTGCAGAATTGATGGATTGTTAGAAAGTGATGAGTAATGACCCTTTATTCATGATGTATCAACATTTTTAACTTAGGTAGCTTATTAGACATTTACATTATTCCTGAATAAAAGATTCGGAAATGATAAAGACTTTTTTTTTTTTTTTTACAACCTAACAACCCTAAAGTTGTTCTTATAAAAGTGATATAACTAATCGTTAGCATTAGTATATTAATTATTAACCACTAATAAACCCCTATCCCATAAAGCCTTTTAATGGCTTATATATTCGAATTACGTAGTACCACTAAGTGGAAATATTTGATATGAATATCCAGTCATACACCACTTGCAGTAACTGGGCATATTAAAACTGTGTTTCTTTGTATGAATGAAAGATTTTATGTTTTTAAAGTCTCTGATTGTTCTGTAGATGATCATTTTAAGCGTCAATTATCCACTAAGTGTGCAACACAGATAAATGACTGATGATGTTTTGTCTCTTGCTCGCTTGACTGATTAATTAATTAATTAATTAATTAATGTTGATTACTGCTATGCAAGATTATTGG